GAGGCCGAGAAGTGAGCGCGGGGGAGAAGGACGCAGGAGGAAGCAGCTGTGCCTCGGCCTGGGGGAGGCGGAGACGTCTCTGGGGTGCCCCTCGTGCCCCTGTTCCCCCTTCGGGACGAGGACTGTCTCCATCCCGCTGACCCCTTTCCACTCACGCCCGCGGGCTGCCTCTCGCGCGAGACCCTCCAGCCCCGCAGCCTGTTGTTCACTGACCGTCGCTGTTGTAATAGTTCATGGCGTCCTGCAGGGTCTCCAGGAAGATGTCCTGCCTGGCCTTCTGAAGCTGGCTTTCCTTCTCCCAGTCCTCCATCCCTTCCACGTGTCTCCATGGTCCCACGGGCTCAGCCTTCCCATAGGTGCTGTCATACTGGAGGAAGGTCTGCTCATTGAGGAAGCCGTTGGCCTGAAACGCGGGGAGGCCTTTCCTGGGCTTGGACACCCCAATGTAGAAATAGGTCAGCGTGTCACGACCTGCAATGGAGAAGAAGATGAGGAGGGATGGGACATCGGTTCAGACGATGTGTAAGTGTCATAAATTTTAAACGTGTACAGTTGAGAAATATTAGCCCACCTATATTCACCCTGAACATTCTTAGCCATCAACCGACTCCTCTCCTGTCCAGAATTGACTCCGGTTCCACCCGTGACCTCGTGTCTTTTCGCCTGGCCACTTGCTTCCAGACCCACTACTGCCATGTCTTTTGGGGGTGAGAGCCCAGTTAACCTGTCTTCCCACCCCCCTGGGGGGTGCTCTCTCTCTTCCTCATCATCAAATGTACCCGACCACTGGAAGGAGAGAGGGGCAAGAGAAGAAGCAGCCCCACGTTCAGTTCCCCCTCTGTCCTGGCTGTCAGACTGACCCCAGGCTGGTCGTTTTGCTCCTCTGGGTCTCTTTTTTTTTCTCATCTGTACACAAAGAATTTTAGATTCAGATTCTTGAAGGTCTCCTTTGCCATGAGTGCAAAGGCTCCTTGAATGCTCTTAGAATTGTGTGAGCTGGCTGGGCTCAGTGGCTCAGCCTATAATCCCAGCACTTTGGGAAGCCCCGGTGAGTGGATTGCCTGAGCCCACGGGTTCGAGACCAGCCTGGGCAACTTGGCAGGACCTCATCTCTAAAATAAAGGGGAAAAAATGAGCCAGGTACAGTAGCGCACACCTGTAGTTCCGGCTACTTGGAAGGCTGAGGCCGAAGCTTGGCTGGAGCCCAGCAGGTCAATGCTGGGGTGACCGTGAGCATGCCACTGCACTTCAGCCTGGGCGACATAGTGAGACACCAACTCAGAAAAAAAAAAAGAAAGAAAGAAGTTTGTGAGCTGAGTGAGCTGACAGCCCTGGACCCATGACCACTGTAGGCCTGTGAATCCCAGCTGCGTCAAGACCGGTCTCCCAGCCCATCTATCCCATTTTCCACCTTCTTTTCTCTGCACTGCTCATCCCTTGTATTCCCCACTCACCAGCCTCGGTCTCCTGGGGGACAGAGGGACCCAGGAGGAGGGTCAGGAACAGCAGGACAGGCACCACTCTCATCATGGTGGCAGCTCGGAAGGTTCTGGGCAGGAAACACGGGCTTTATCCCGGGTGCTCCCTGAGGGCGGAGAATCTACAGACCAATGAGAGTGCCACGATGGTTCCTCCCCTGGAAGAGAAAAAAACAATGCACAATTGTGGGCAATTGCTGGGATCAGTCAGTCAGCATACAGGTTCTGCAAATGGAGTGCTGAGTTATCTTGTCTCAAAACTGGGGCTGTGAGTATCCCTTAGGGGGAAAGATGCCCATTGGTTAGAAGCGTGTGTGGTAGGTGGCAGATGCCCGAGATGTGTGTCACCCTTCCAGTCTACTATGACCTCCCTTGCAGCCGGTGGAGGGCGGGTGGATTTGGTATTGTTAAACCACACTTCATCCCTTCCTTCTGGAAAAGCTCTCAACATGTCAGGGCCTGGGCCTAAGTAGACTGCTCTCGGATGGGACCGTCACCCCCCACGCCCTACCCCGCCAGAGGACATTCGTATCTGTCCCTTCTTACCTTGGGTGCTTTCCAGCCTTCCGTCATGGAAGCAGAAATGCCCAGATCCCCTGTTTGCAGCCTCCCTTGCAATAAAATGAACAGGTGTGCACACAGCCTGACCTCAGCAACATACGGCTCCTGTCATGGACGTCCAGAGAGTGTCAGAATCAAAGAGGCAGGCTCCATGGACCATCCCTCCTGGTGGTCTTGGATCCACACTGCGGGCTCTGGTGCCCCCTGCCTGAAGCTGTCATGTAATTACAGGGCTGGTTCGGGGTGTGGTTTTGGCTGTGCTTCTCCTGGAGAATTCTGAGCCTGGGTTCCCGAGCCTCGCTGGGGAAGCACAGGCTGGAGGCCATTTGGGTTCGCAGCCCCGGTGACCCCCATTTCTGCCTGAGATGATACAGCTGAATCTCATGGGTCACCCTTGATGACGTCTTTGAGCCTGGGGAGCAGAGCACAGGGACAGACTGGTGGGAGGTTTGGAGACAGACTGGGATGCGGGCACTGACCACTCTGTCACCTACCACCACCTCGCCTGGAAACACTTCTCAGTGTCTCAGCCATGGAGCCTATAGACAGCCATCTCCTTGCCTGGCACAACACAAAAAGGAAGTTTTTAACTGTGAGAAGCTGGTAAAATGTGCCTTGGTTTAGGCCTTGGTTCTGCACCCAAGCGTGTGATTCATCTGAAATTCTTGGTTTCCACTAGAAGCCACGTGTCCTGGACACCTTGACTTGGCCACTTCCAAGAAAAGCCTGGATGCCCTGGTCGCTTGAGTACTGATCAAGTAGTCACTGCTGATGTCACATGTGTAGCCAAGGCCGCCCCGGTTGTGAGGTGCTGGAACTTGGCAGCCTCGTTAACACAAACTCAGACCTCTTCTGTGGTTCAGTACCCCACGCTCCCTGGCTGACTCTGAGACACCACTCGTTCCAGCTGTTCCAGGTTTCCCACACCATTTTGACCTTGGGCGGACACACACAGCCAGAACTCATTTGAGAACCCTCATCTCTCCAGGGCACAGCTCAAGGAAACAGGAATTGGCCCTGGGGTTCTCCGACTCCCTCCAAGTTCCCCGAGTGTGTTTGTTCTACTGAGCCATCAACTGCCATCCACAGGCTTCAATGCCAAGGACAAAGCTAGTCTCACACTTCACCTTTCTATGAAGCCTCGCCTGCCTGGGGCTGACTTTTTCCTTCTTGGGGCTAAGAACGTCCTTGACATCATACCGAGTTTCTGAAGGAAGTCACTCCCAGCCCTCAGAATTGTGAGTCCACAGTTTTACCCTTCTAGAGACCCCAAATCTGAAGGCTATTCTTTTCATTCTGATGCTTTGGCTCCAAGTTAAAATTAAACTTGAGAAATTACTTATTTAGTCTACCAGAAAAACACCCACATTCCCTTCTTCTGGGATGAATAAATCTATCGGAGGACTCTTGGGCACACTCATAAATGCTCCCGTTTATTTGATGACATTGGACAAATCCCTTGGAGCGGGGCTCTCCAGATTCTGATTCCAACCTCTCTTTTGTATTTATCATCTCCACATACCCCACCCCTCGCCTGTCTTCATGAACTCTGTTTCCACCAGAATGGCCTCAGGAATCCTCAGAAACATTCATCTTTTGATGTATTTTCGTGTTTGGGGGAGTTGGGAGTTGTTTGGTTTTGTTTTAGAATTTTACTTAATTTCTTTGGTTTTTTGTTTTGATAGCTCTAGGAAGTATAAATCGTTTCCAGTCTGGGCTTTAAGTGAATCTACTATCCCCACCTGTGTACACTGTACCCAATAGGTGACCCGAGTTTCTCCCTCCCTCACCCCTTCCTCCTTCTGAGTTTCCAGTGTCCATTTACCATTCTCTATGCTTATCCTGAGTTTATTTTTTATTTCGGTCGCTTTGGAGGGATACAAATAGTTTTCTATCTGGTCTTTTAAGTGCCGCCACCCCTGCCTAAGCGCACTGTACCCAATAGGTGAGTTTCTTTCCCTCCACCCTTTACCCCCTCCCCTGTCTGAATCTCCAGGGCACAGAGATTCAGTTTTGCTCCCACATAAAAGCGAGAACATGCGGTGTTTGGTTTTCTGTTCCTCAGTTCACTAAGGATGATGTTCTCCAATTCCATCCAAGTTGCTGCAAAAGACATTCTTTCATTCCTTCTGAGGGCTGAATAGTATTCCACAGTGTATACGTGGCACATTTTCATTCTAACTGAATGGCTGCTGAGCATTTAGGTTGATCCCACATCTCTGCCGTTGTGAATTGCACTGTGATGAACATGCAGGGGCAGGTGTCTTTTTCATATAGCGAGACCTGTTCCTTTGGGTAGATACCTAGTAGTGGGACTGCTGGATCACATGGTAGATCAACTTTTAGCACTTTGAGAAATCTCCATACTGATGTCCATGGAGGCTGTACTAATTTACACTCCTATCAACCGTGTGTACCCATTTCCTGTACTCCCCATCCAACAGCATCTATGGTTTTTCTTTTTTTTAATAATGGTCATACTGACTGGTATAAGGAGTTACCTTATTGTTGGTTTTATTGGCACTTTCCTGATGACTAGTGATGCTGAGCATTTTCTCATATGCTTTTCGGTCATTTGTATATCTTCTCTTGACAGAGGTCTGTCATTTCGTTTGTCCGCTTTTTAATAGGGTCGTTTGTTTTTTTCTGCTGACTTGTTTAAGTTCTGTGTAGATTCTGGATGTTAATCCTTTGTCAGGTGTATAGTCTGAGAATATCTTCTCCCATCCTGTAGATTGTCTATGTACTCTGTTGATTATTTCTTTTACCGTGCAGTAACTGCTTCGTTTAATTAAGTCCCAGTTATTTATTTTTGTTGTTGTTGTTGCACTTGCTTTGGGGGTTTTAGCCATAAATCTTTTGCATAGGTCAATGTCCAGAAGAGTTTTTCCTAGGATTTCTTCTAGTACTTTCAAGGTTTCAGGTCTGACATTTAAGTCTGTAATCCATCTTGAGTTAGTTTTTATATGGATTTCATTTTTTTGCATGTAGCTATCCAATTTTCCCAGCACCCTTTGTTGAATAGGATGTGCTTTCCTCAATATATGTTGTTGTCTGCTTCATCAAGGACTAGTTGGTTGTAGGTATTTGGGATTATTTCTGGATTGCCTCTTCTGTGCCATAGGTCCATGTGGCTGCTCTTGTACCAGTGTCATGCTGCTTGGTTACCACAGCCTTGTAGTATAAATTGAAGTCAGGCAACGTGATGCCACCAACTTTGTTCTTTTGCTTAGTATTTCTTTGGTTATTCTGGCTCTATTTGGGTTTCACATGACTTTTAGGATTGATTTCTCTAACTCTGTGAAAAATGACAGTGGTCGTTTGATCGGGATTGCATTGACTCTGTAGACTACTTTGGGTCATAGGGTCATTTTAACAATGTTGAGTCTTCCAATCCATGAGCGGGGATGTTTCTCCATTTGTTTGTGACCTCTTCAGTTTCCTTCACCAGAGTTTTGCAGCTCTTCTTGTGGAGAACTTTCACATACTTGGTTAAATATATTCCTAAGTATTTTACCCTTGGGGTGCTATTGTAAATGGAATTGAGTCATTGATTTGATTCTCAGCTTGATTGCTCTTGGTATACAGCAGTGCTACAAATTTGTGTGTGTTGATTTTGTATACTGAAACTTTATCGAATTCACTTATCAAGTCCATGAGTCTTTTGGAGGAATTATTAGGATTCTCTAGGTATAAGAGCATTTCATTGGCATACAGAGACAGTTTTGTTTCCTTTTTCTAACTTGGATACACTTTGTTTCTTTTTCTTGCCTGATTGCTCTGGCTAGGACTTTCGGTACTATGTTGAATAAGAGTGGTGAAAGTGAGCATTCTTACCTTGTTCCAGTTTTGAGGGGGGAAGGGTTCAACTTTTCTTAATTTGGGATAATATTGGCTGTGAGTTTGTTGTACATGGCTCTTATTATTCTGAGAAGTGTTCCCTTTATGCCTATTTTTATCCTGAAGGGACACTGGATTTTATCAAATGCTTTTTCTGTGTCTATTGAAGTGACCATGTGATTTTTGTTTTTAATTTTGTTTATGAGTCGACCACATTTATTGACTTGTATATGTTAAGCCACCCTTGCAACCCTGGGATAAAACCCCACAGGTTGTAGTGTATTATTTTTTTATGTGCTGTGCAGTTCAGTTTGCTAAAATTTTTAAGGATCTTTGCGTCTATGTTCATAAGGGATATTCATTTTCTTTTCTTGTTGTGTCTTTTCCTGGCTTTGGTATCAGAGTGTTACTGGCCTCATCGGATGAGTTAGGGAGGACTCCCCTCCTCTTCAAACTTGTGGACTGGCTTCAGTAAGATTGATTGCAGCTCTTCTCTGAAGATGTGGCAGACTTCGGCTGTGAGTCCTTCAGGTCTTGGACTTTTTTGTTGTTAGGAGACTTCTAATTACTGTTTCAATTTTGCTACTCATCCTTGGTTTGTTTGAGGTTTCTGTTTCTTCCTGATTCCAGGTTGGGGGGTTGTGTGTTTCCAAGAATGCATCCATTTCCT